CTTCAGTGAGATTGTGAGCATTGCAACTAACAACACTGTCCCCATGATTAGTTTTTTTGTTGTGTTACTGAGGGCAGCGGACACCAGGCGTGGCAAGTCAAGGTGACCCTGCAGAGTAATTGTGGTGCTTCCAACACCATTTGCCTGTGTTCTGAAGTTTGGTGGTCATTCTCCCCCCACGTTCATGTTCCCTGGCTTGCCTTGATCGTTAGAATTTGATGCTTTTCATTGAACTGTGTGTGCTGGTTTTGGCTGGGATAGAGTTAATTTTCTTCACAGTAGCTAGTACGGGGCTATGTTCTGGATTTGTGCTGGAAACAGTGTTGATAATACAGGGATGTTTTAGTTTCTGCTGAGCAGTGCTTACACAGAGTCAGGGCCTTTTCTGCTTCTCACACCACCCCACCAGCGAGTAGGCTGGGGGTGCACAAGAGGTTGGGAGGGGACACAGCCGGGACAGCTGACCCCAACTGGCCAAAGGGACATTCCATATTCATCATATGGTGATATGACGTCATGCTCAGCATATAAAGCTGGGGGAAGAAGGAGGAAGGGAGGGACGTTCGGAGTGATGGCGTTTGTCTTCCCAAGTAACCGTTAGGTGTGATGGAGCCCTGCTTTCCTGGAGATGGCTGAACACCTGCCTGCCCATGGGAAGGAGTGAATGAATTCCTTGTTTTGCTTTGCTTGCGTGCGCAGCTTGTGCTTTACCTGTTAAACTGTCTTTATCTCAACCCACAAGTTTTCTCACTTTCACCCTTCTGATTCTCTCCCCCATCCCACTGCGGGGGGAGTGAGTGACACAACAGCCCTGAGTGGTAAAATGGGGCTTTTTTTTTTTTTATATATGTATATTAATTCACAGAGGTATCTAGGTCTGTAAGCGCCTCCCTTTGATTTAAATGAAGCATCTAACTGCAGCAGATCTAGTCTTTAATGTTACTCTTGTCTTAAGCTATTTCACCATTGATTTAAATGGGGGCAGAGTTCAGCTTGTGATGACAGACCGGAATTGTTAATTATTACTACAAAAGAGAAACAAATTTGCACGTCCAGTACCAGTAGAGGGAACTCGTGTTCCTTCTGGAGAACTTAAAAGCCTGTCTTACATTTCTTTAGGTTTCTTACATTCATGAGATAAGTCCCCTTTATGGTTACATGTCAAAAAGCAAGATCTTTTTTTGTATCATAGGTAGTAGGACTATGGGATACTTCAGTACTGAGCAATAGCAAATATACTACCATTTATGTGTGTTTTAACATAAAACTAAAGGATTCAAAATTCACTGGCTGACTTGGCTGATCTCGATAGTAGACAAGACTTTAAAATATATTATGGAGGAAATAGTTAAGGTCATAGAAAAAGCAAATAAATGTAGTGAAAGGAGAATACAGTAGGACTTAATAAAAGGATTTAATACTTATATTGTGGTTTTTATGAGAGGAATAGGTTTAAGGCAATAAAATGTTAATATATATATAGGCATTTAGTAAAGCTTCAGATTTGGCACTGAATGGGAAGTATTTGGCTAAACTGGAAAAATGGTTATGAGCCAAGTATTCTAGGGTGGGTAGAACATTGGCTGAGAGGAGAGGAAAACAGACTGTGCAGACAGGGAAAATGCTGGAGTGAATGGAGTTATGGAGGGAGGAGCTCTGCAACAGGATGCCTTAGAACTGATCTGCTTATTTAATACACTTAGTGAAGGTGACCTAAAAGTAGGAGTCTGCTGATGCCACAGAGTTAGTAATACCAGTGATATTGAGACACTAGAGCCTGAGGATATCATACAGTTCAAACTGTGAGACCTTGACACCTGAATTAGACAGCAGAAGGAAATATTGTAGCACAAAATATAAAATGGTGTATTTAAAGAGTAAATAAACTAAAAGGAAGAACTTGTGGTAGAAGAATTTTCGAGGGCACTGGGGTGCAAATGAATAGAAAAAAATGAGTATATTAGTTGAGCAAAGGTTGAATATGAACAAGTAATTCATACACCCATGGAAAAAAGTGGAATGGAGCCAATATGACAGATGACTATAAGGTATGATTATAAGAACTCCCAAAGGCTCTACTAAAGAGTTATTAAATAGGCATGTATAAGCTGTGACCAATATTACTGTATTGTTTGTATGAGAATCATTTGGTTGTCATCTAGTAAGATCAAACAAAGGATGTTTTCTGGATTCTATTTAGACATTAGGGCACAACTGAACGAAAAAGGAAAACTAATGCTACATTTGTTTCTCTTCTGTCCTTCCCAATGCTGCCTTTCCTGTCCCCAGGGGAAATAGATTGCAAGGAGATGGGTGACTGTGTGCCAGGATCAGGATCTGCATCTACAGACTTGTGCCTTCCCGCGCTTCATTACCTCAGGAGATGTTCTCAGGTACGATGAGCAATCTTATACAGGTACTAACCTGGCCTAGGAACAGTTCTAACCTCCAGGCTTTGCATCAATGGTTAGATGGTTTGCATGAACACAACAGAATCTGTGGTAAGCCTGATGGTAATAACCTGCACTGCCAGATGGAGAGTGGTGATCTGAAGGACTCTTATACTTTCTAGGCCAACTAATGGTGGGAAAACCGAGGAGATAAAAACACTCAGACCCAAGGAGCATGTGGGAAAATGTGAATGTTCAAAACCTAGTTGTAACATATTCAAAGCTACATTCATTCTTATTTAAACAGTTACTGTAAACAGTGTTGGGAATGAAAGAGGGGAAAAAAAAAAAAAAACCTTGAGAATTCTCAGATCTTAAGAGCAGCAACAGGTTACACCCTCTAGAATGCAGCAGCAGCTTATCTGTACCATGAAAATGTATCTGAAGCTCAGGGCAAATCTCTAACAAATTAAAATGTTGGTATGTTTCCTGTAATCTCCTTGCACACAGCACAGATTATTATCCAGGGTTATTAGGATGTTTTTTGTCTGATTTTATAATGTTGTTTGTATTTCCGTCGTACCAGCAGGTCTTTTTGTTGGACCCAGGCCATGTTTTTTCTGGGTACAATACAAATGCATAACAAAGGATATTACCATAGCTGAAAGGACTTAATATCTAGATTCAGAGATAACGGGTGGATTCAGTATACAGACTGAGAGGAGAAGGAAAGAATAAGGCAGCTCAGAATAATAAACAGCTGACATATCAAATTGTACTTGCTATCTTCTTCACCTAAAAAAAAATTAGTGAATATCTATGTGTATATCTACTGTATGTTCTATCTATACGCTATGTGCATCACATCACTCTTCCTCATCCTTACAAACCCCAGTCCACAGTGAGGCAGAAATATTTTCTCCTCTTTAAAAGAAGCAGCCATTTTTATCTTGTTGTAGCTTTTAACTTGCCAGTAGAAGAAAAACAGGAATGACTAAAAAGAAATCCTGTCTGTATATTGCAAATACATGGTTTACTTTAGAAAGGCCTGATAAAATACTGGTAGCATCCCAGCTATAGCACAATTCTGCAAAGTTTGTATTTGTTGTGTAATGCACAACCCAGGCAATGAAGCCCTGAAGTAAACCTGTACAGGTCCTTTTATCAGTATTTACTTAGTCCTTCAGAGCTCCAAAATGCTCTGTGTACAGCTAATGGAGCTTCTTAGGTCACAGGTGCAATCAGTAAGTAGTAACATTTGTCTTTCACAAATGGGGAGGGAGCACACTCCCTTCCCAAAAATGTGTTATTTAAATTGCTTTTCTCCCTCTCTTTCTCCCCCCGAGCCCTTGTCAATGAACAGAAGACTTCTGGCCTCTAGTTGTGTTTTTTGTTTACACTATTGCTGGATGAACAGAACAGATGCTGACATTATGCTGCTTTCATAGCTTCTATTTTTTTTTACATACCTGTGTTGTATGTGATAGCCTTTACAAACTTTCCCATATATATTTATCTTTTCTTCTCTTTTTCTTTCTCTCTCTCTCTCTCTCTCTCCTCCCTCCCACCCAGTTGTTAGCCAAAATCTATAAAATGCCCTTGAAACCCATCTTCCTCAGTGGCCGGATGGTTAACTTGCCCCGAAGAGTGCAGGAACAGTCAGCCAGCAGTGAGGACGGTATTGAGTGCATCCTTTCTGACTGTGATGACGACACTGGTAAGTGCATTGAAAGCAGTAAATGCGGAATTAATCAGTCGCTTCTTCCACACGTCACTGTAAATTTTGCGAACCGCTGAAAGCAAAAAGGAGGGGAAGAACTTCATAGTTTATCGTCTCCCTGTTGTCTGCACACACACGTGCGTACACAGAGCTTGGAAGTTCAGGTCATGTCACTTTCTTTATGTTAAAAGATACAGCTCATATATGAGAAAAATACAATATTATCTTGGGACAAGATAATAATATTTTAATTATCCTGATATTCATAATACAACCAGTATATATTTCTGAGAGCTAACACAAAAATACTTTCTAGACCACGCTGAAGTAAAGGAGTGAAAACCTTCTAAGGTTGGTGTTGGTAGGCCTGCCTTTAACAGAAAAAATACCGGTGTTGAGTTAGAGTTTAGAAAGATAAAGAATACTTGTTTAAATATGTTTCCAAACTTATGTCCTGTGGTCTGTTGAACTAAATGGTGTATTTCTAAAGTCCATAAAAAGCACCATGACCTCCAGAAAAACAAGCAGCATTTGTCTCCTGATTATTTGTGTGGCTTGTATGGGTTGTGGATTAATCAGGTGTTTGATGAACTAGATCTGTGTGGAGCCAAGCGGTAGAGGAATGCAGCCTTGCTGCTTCTGGACTCATGATGGCCCTTCGAAGCAGTACAGTCACTTTTGAATATCTGAACTACTGAGCTGTTCCAACCTGGCTGCCTCTGTGAAGAGCCAGCTCCAACCAGGCAGAAAGCAGGCTGACTCCAGTGCATTTCATTCACATGCCTCACCAGAATGACTCTTGGTACCTACTTTTATTTAGGCTCGTCCACCACATGGACTGTCCTGTTCCACTGCTACCCTGGATAAAGGAGAGAAAAGCTGCTCTCTGAAAAAAGCAAACCACAAGTCCTGGTTAAAAAAAAAAAAAGCCAAAACTTTTACTTTCTTCTTTCTGTGTTTGGTTTTTTCTTTTCTCTCTGGAAATTTTAGGATGTTCACCTGAGATGTGGGAGACCCAAGTCACTGAAGTCTCTGCTTTGAGTCAGGCTTGGGACTTGACCTAGGGTCTCCCCACCTCAGGTGAGCACCACTTGCCTACTGTTCTGAAGTGGCTCTGCCTATCAGTGTCTTGCTTGCTGTAAATAGAAATGCCACCCTGCAGCAAAGAAACCTTCTGATCTGGTTCTTGTCAGAGCTAAGCACTGAAACTTTCACCCAATTTTTATTTAGCTGGTAATGGTATTAGAACATTGCTAGGCAAACTGACTTTACAAAGACAGAAGACGGTGCTTCACCTGGCACTTTAGTGCTGAAAGTCAATATCAAGATGGAGCAAAATGTTTTAGCCTACTTTGCCATATGGTGGTGCAGTGTATTTTCATAGAGCATTTGATTTCATGCCAAACTTTTCAAGAGGGTGTTTCTAAAAGATACTCAGTTCTTCCAGATTTGAAGATACCCAGATTTTGTGCTGAGTGATTTGCGTTGTTTCCTTACCTAGAAATATCATTAAAGTCTATATGATTCCAAACAATGTTACCATATGTACTGCCCTGTGGAAGTGGTGTGAATAAATAATCAACCCAGTTAATAAGTAATGATTTCACTGTGTTTTCCTTGATTCTCAGGAAGACTTCTGCAGTCAGCAAACTCAGTGCATCTTAAACAAAGTTCCCTTGCAGCTTTTTTTATTGCTTTTGGAACATAATTAGCCAGCAAGCATCATGCAGTCACAGACTACATCAGCATGGCTACCAGTGGCAGAGAAGAAGGGCTTATTAGTGAACCAAAGTAAAATCCATTTTAGCCTAATAAACCCATAGCCTTGTAAGGAGACTTAACTCAAGAATAACGCTATACATTGCAGGAGCATTATGAGTGTAATATGCAGGATCCTTCTAGTCATTCATAATATCATGGGGAACTAGCAAGTACTTAAGTGATCTGTGAAAAATCAAAGGGCAGCAATTCCTAACCATCTTCAAAATTGTACTGAAAACTAGTTGTATCCCATAATCTTTTAGGGATACATGTTTGCTAATGTAGATATGAACTCACAGTACTACCTGTATCCTAACTGCTGTTCTGGTAGTTGTCCAGCTCTGCCATATCCACATTTAATGCTCTTCTATCTGTGACCTCCTAACTTCTGAAGATGACATGTGAGACAGCCTGATGATACTTCATGAGGCATTATTACTGTTCAGTTCTGGGTACCAAATAAAGACAGTTAAATTATGGCTAGTCACCTGAGGATCCTTACCTAAAAGCATAACCTAAATGGGTATGAACCATTCTGGGCAGCATTTGCAACGGTAGTGAGATATGTAAAATGTCCCATTAAAAAAAAACCCAAGGTTAAAGAGACTGGACTAGTGGGAGTAGTAAACTAAGAAAGAAGACCAGAACAAAATGTACGTGGAGGAGGAAGGATGGGACAAAACACAAACTTAATAAAAAGGGAAAGAAAAGGAGACCATCATTTCAAAAATTGATACTGCCCACAACCATTACACAGCAACAGTGAACATACAAGAACACATGATCTTTAAGTTAATTAATTTCTTAGCCTCCATCACTTTCTGAGGGCAAGTTCCACCTGTGGTCAATGCAGTATCTCACTCATGGCTTTTAATCTTTGTTTCCTTACTTGTAGGCCTTATCAATGTCTGGATTATTCTGCTGGAAGAATTAACAACTGCCATATCCAACTGTCCCCGTCAGCACCAGCCTCCTACTTTGGATCTGCTCTTTGAATTGCTGAGGGATGTTGCCAGGACACCTGGTAATGAAAGGGCTTGATAAAATGTGAGCTAGTAGAGCCCTGACCTGAAACTCTTAGAATCCTAAACCACTTCTGTAAAGTGTGTTACTCATGCTAGAGCTGCACAGAGGCATTCTCAAGTAGAAAGGGATTTTCTCAGAGCATGATCTGTTGTTCCAGTTAGTGCATTGTTCTATGTTGACAAAAGGCATCTTGTAAGAGTATGTTATACTTTTACATTTAATGCACAAAGAAAGAGGTGCAGTACTCTATTCATGTCCTAGCCACAGAAAACGTTTGCCTGGTGTCCAGGAAATGGAAAAAGAAAATTATATAGTCCTGTAGACCTGCTGGGAAAGACAGCAGGTAAACAGTTGGCTAAATGTTCGTATACTACCTCACAACTAGATCCAAAACTGCTTACCTCTATCATCCCACAAAAAACGTTTCAGAACCTGCTTTCTTTAGCACTGCCCCTGGCGTCAAGCTTGGAACAACTTAGCAAATTTACTGTGCATGTAGGCTTTGTAAGCAAAAATATACAACCATCATTGTGTTTATTTTAAGGCCCAGGATTTGGCATTTATGCAGTTGTACATCTTCTTCTTCCCACGATGTCTCTTTGGCTCCATCGCAGCCATGGTGACCATTCTTACTGGGATGTGGCATCTGCTAATTTCAAGCATGCCATTGGCCTTTCCTGTGAACTCGTAGTGGAGCACATTCAAAATTTCATACACTCAGGTATGTCATTGCACTGTGACATCTACTGACAGTCATCAGTGGCATGTTACCGAATAGCTACTTGGGGAGATGGTTTCATTGCTTTTTCGTTACTCAAGCATAAAATAAGAGGAAGAGGTTGAAAATTTCTCTTTGTTTGGGTTTGTTTTTCTTTCTTTATAGGGTTTAGAATTATGGAAAAAATTAACTGTAAGGGAAGTTAAGGACTTCCCCTTAAATAACTAGGGAAGTTATTTAGTCCAGCCTCCGCTCAGAGCAAGGCTATCTTCAAAATTAAATCATCACAGTCTATATTATACTTTCCAAAAGAAGATACTAAGACTTTGATCATAAAGAACTAGAATATTCAAAAACAGGATCTAATAGAATTTCTCCAGTACCACTTAAGCCCAGACATTTTATATTGTTGACATCAAAAGGACTGTTCTTATTTCAGTTTGACATGATGCATGTTTCAAAATTGAACTCTAGTGATACCTGCATAAAAAGATTTGGTTTTGCAAAGTCTCTGAATAGCAGTAAGTGTAGCAAGACTGTTTATCTCTAATTATAATGAAAAGGCAATGATGTTAAAACCAGTCTGTGTCTTTGTCTTATAGATATTGGTTATGAAAATATGATCAATACTATGCTGAAAGATCTTTTCAAGTTGCTGGTAGCCTGTGTAGCAGAACCAACAGAAATTATTTCCAGAGTTGGCTGCTCTTGTATCAGGTAACACAGTCTATTTACTCTGTTAGCATATTCTAAAAAAAGATGTCTTTATATCTTTGAAGAACTTGTGGACTGATTAAGTTAGCTAACATCTCGAAAGAAGTCTACAATCTATCTATCTCTTGTTATTTGAATAATGAATTTTAGACTTACTAACCTTTTCTTGCTGTTTTCTGTCTGCTTCAGAACCTGTGATTTTAGGCATTGCTATGTGTATCATTCCCATAAAAAGCACTTGTACATTACTTATATGCAGTTAGTCAATAATTAGTCCTTAGGAAAAATAATCAAGGGTCTTTCTGTTGGAATTCACAGGTCTTCAGAGGTAATTAATACCTTTCACAGTCTTCAGGTTATTACAGTCATAATCAAAATAAGCACTACATTATATACTTAGACAACATGTGGTTCTTATCCTGGCATGATGACTACTTAAAGAGGAAAAGCAAAGGAAAAAAAAAAAAGTCAAAACTACAGTGTAATTACAAAATAGGTCAGGGTAACAGCTGAGGAGATTCGATATCATTAGCTAGCTACTGAGTAGGCCTTTTGTTCTGTTTTCAACCTTCTCCCATTAGAAGCAAGAATTGTCTAGTTCCTTCTTGAACATGGTAACGTTTTCCTGTGTCCTTGCAGGTATGTGTTAGTGACAGCAGGGCCTGTTTTTACTGAAGAGATGTGGAGGCTTGCGTGTTGTGCCCTGCAGGATGCGTTCTCTGCCACGCTGGAGCCAGTAAAGGTAAACTGCCTTTTTGCTGAGAGTCAAAATGTAATCACACTAGTTATAGACTCACTAACTTTTGACAGGTCGCTTTTCCTTTTTCAGAAAAGTTTTTGGGTACAGAGCCAAGAAAAGAAGCGTAAGGATTATGTGGTAGCTTTTGTAATTTTGTCAATTCATTCACAATGAAAGGTGTTGGATCAACAATGGAGATTGAAATCAGTTTTTCTAAACATGTGCAGACAACACTAGTCACTAATAGTCCAGACTTACTTTAAATTGCCTTGCCAGTATGAAATCAGAGAGTTTAGTAGGTGAAAACTTAACTTTTGATCTATTTCTTCCTCTGGATTGGCTAAAACTAGACAGAAGACAAAGCTGCTTTCTTGATCCTGTAGCTGCATGCTCCATATAGATTATTTCTCAACTCACTATCTTTCTTGTAACAAAAAAATCCTCATCACAGGCCAGACTACATAAGGAGTTCTAATGCCAGGTGACCGGCTGATGCTAATGGGACAAATCACTCTGAATCTTGTATTACACTTGAACAGGCTGGACAGCGCTACAGTCACTGGCTTCATTTGACGCACAGTGAAAGTCTGATGTTGTGTCTCTCTGTAGAACCTGTTGGGCTATTTCCACAGTGGTTCTGAAAGCTTTAGTGGAGATGCCTGTGAAGTGAAGGTGGCAGCCCCCTCCCTCTCGCCAAGTGCTGAAGCTGAATACTGGAGAATCAGAGCCATGGCACAACAGGTACTCACTGACATTTCAAGGGAAGTCAGAGAACCTTTTAAACTTGGAGCTTTTCCTTCTGAAAGTACATCTTTACCACCTCCTTCCTCACAAGCCCTATGGGCAAAGACTTCCTCATTGCCAGGCTAACATTTATTTGTCTGACAGTAGTATTGAGAAAAGATAGCAAAAACTAGAAAAAAAAACTTAAAACTGTGCGCCTGTAAGTAGGAATTAGGAATGCCTAGAGTGGGGGAAGATGCATAGGTACCTGAGGAGGACTGATGATGAGCCTATTGTGTAATGTATCTTTAAAAAAGGCAACCCTAGCATATGTCAGTGGAAATGTTTCTGATAGAGAAAAGGAAATAGTAGTGGCACTATGAATTCTCATCTAGAATGTCATATATATTTTTAATTAGTCTGTTAAAGAATAATAATTTCAAAAGGCAAAAAATGCACTAGAACAGAGACTGTGATATGAAACTAGCAAAACAAGATTTGTTCAACCTATCAAAGCAGAGTTTGAAGAGGAATGCAGATTTTTTTCTCTATAAATACCTGGGTATAGATTGCAGAGAAGAAAGAGTTACTGAGAACTAGAGGATAATGCTGACATTTAACAAATGATTTAAAACTCACCACTAACTCCTGATCAGCAGAGCAAGCTTGGAGACAACCTTCTCGGGGTCCTTTTGACTACAATGGAGGTTATTCATTTTATGAAAGTGGTTACATGAAACAAGTTCCTGGAAATACAGCAGACTGAACTTAATGACCTGCAGGGTACCACAACACTGTAAATACTGTATGACAGTTTCAGCATGGGAAAGCAGCTGGATTAAAAGAGCCAACAGATGTTTGGTGTCAGTTTCTGACTTGATTAATCATACCCTGACGCTGCTTGAAAATCTGCGATGCACAGACCAGGATTTGTGATCACAAATAATGTGGCAGTGGCAGACTTTGAATAGAAAAAATGTTTTAAATTAAATTTTAAAGATGCAGAACTCAAGAAAACAGAGAATGTGGCATTTATACTTTTCTTGTAGACACTATCAGTGGCACTCCCTGAGTCCTCAGTGAGGATTTGACACAACTACTAAGCTACAAAACAAAGCTACAGCAACTGAGAGTTATTTCCCCATTTCCCACGCAAAGAATTGCAGGTTAGGTGTCTGTTGTGTCTTCATGGCTGAAAATAACCCTTCCAACAACCAACCTTTCTAGGTACAACAGACTAACTATGCAAACAGACCCTTGTCTCCACTATACATGATATTTTCTGATAGTAGTATACAGACAGCAGAAAGCTTGTTTTGGTATTTGATATTATGCCTTATACAAGTTCAAAAAAAAAGATGTCTGTCCTTTGCCTTGTGCTCTGCTGGGTGTCTGGAGGTAGCCCATGGCTCTGAGGCTGTTTTACCAAAGCAGCATGCTCCAGGGAAGGTCTGCCTGGGGGCGATACCTTGCATTCTCTCCATCGCTGTAAAATGTCATCATAACAGATCTTTCACAATGCAGGAAATCCTATTCTCAGGCCCCCCAGTGACCCAGTGCAAGTGCTAAACTGATTGTTTTATGTAACTTGTTGTTTTCTAGGTCTTCATGCTGGAGACTCAGTGCTCCCCAAAGACCCCTAGCAACAAGGAAGGGTTTGAACATGCCCAGTCGTGCGTGCTCATCATTGACCTGCCACCAGATAAGAAACCAAATGGGCATACCCAGAGAAGGTAAAATATCTTCTCGGGAAAATACCGTGTCATTAAAAGCAAGATAAAAATATTGTCAGGCTGGCAGAGATGTGAACAGAGCCTGGCAAACCATGCCTCTCCGTAGGTCTCATCAAAAAAATGAAGTACGCCGATCAAATGAAAATTCGGTTTTGTGACACAGGAGACAATAGTTTACTACTATCTGCTCTCCAAATGTTCCCATGATCATACACTGCTGAGCAGACATGTGCAAGAGCTGTTACAGTTATAGACAAGCCTGTGTCAGGGTCTATAATGTGGCCCTTAGAAAGCTAAATAAGGAAAGCGCTTCTAATAGATAGTAAAAATGGGTAGGTTACAAATACCTGAAGGATACATAAGGTCACACAAAACTTTCAAGTAGAGGAAATGCAGATTAAATTAAGAAAAGAATTCTCATAGGAAATACTAGGAAAATCTTTCCAATGTTGAGATTTTTTTCTCTAAGAAGTAGAGTTAAAAATAGCAGTTTGAAGAAAGCTTTGGAAGTACTGTTATGTTTGTAATGATATATGTTTGCAAATTAAATAATGTCTGCTTCACTAATGGTCTTTTAAATTCAGTATTACTGGATTAAGAAGGTAGAAAAAGTTACTGGATAAACTGGAGCAGTATAAATTGAAGAGACCACATCCAAAGCTGCGGAACTGTCAACATATTGATCTAGGGAATGTTGGTTTTGCTTGGGACTTTATTTTTGTGGAAGTTACCACCTCAGAAACTCATGCATTTGCATGACAATCTGATCCTGTCAAAGAATATTTCTTTTTGCTTGCACTCAGTTGTTTAAACAACTGCTGTAACATCAACAGGGCCAAGAATCAGAATTCTGCATTCAGGGTTTGTGTTTGTATTGCAAGGTATGTAGTACATGACATGAAATTGTCTTTTACTAGATACCAAACCTGCTTCTGTACCACTTCAGGCATTCTCATTCAAAACTAAACTATTGCTTGCAACAAGGAGCCAGAATATGATGGTCCTTCTTTGGATGGACAGGAGGAAAGACCTTGCAAGAAGTCTCTATTCTTACACAGATTGCCCCAAGAGCAGGCGCTCTGTTGCCTCGCCTTCAGAGAACAGGGCCCTGCACAGAGACGAAGAAAGGTTGAGATCACAGTCTGAACCCTTCCTTCGTGGTGGGAAAATATCTGCTTTATCCAAAGGTTTGCAGATCATTCTTCTTGTTATAATGAAGGCAAAGCAAAAGACTGGAGTACTCCCCTCTCATGGCACATAAGGCCATGCAATCTAACAGGCTGCGTTCGTAAAGGTAGCGTGGGTCTTGCTTGTCTTTAAACAAATAAATAAATAAAGCTTGCAATTAATACAAACTCTGAATGCTCTCACACTGCGCTTTGTCTAAACAACTGCAAAAAGTGTATATGCCGATAGGCAACTGTTACCCCAGCAATGCTCATTTTTCATCAAAACAGGGCTCAAAAGTTGACTGTGCCACTGTTTTTCATATTATTTGCTACAGCAGTGCAGTAATATGCCAGTCTTGCATGCTAGTGACTGTGGCCTTTCAAAAGTTTTACTTTAACCTTAGTGGGGTTTCTCTTCTCCCTTTTTGCTTTTGTTTCCTTAATGCTGCATCGTTTCACAGGAAGCTGGGGTAAGGGAGCTTTTCTTCTTCCTAAAAAGTAATAATGTATTTCAGTTCAAAACTTTGGGCAGAATAAGAAAATACTATCCTTAACCAGCTTTGGCATTGTGTGTTTTCACCTATAGCTCTGTTCTAGTTTCTTTTGGAATTGAGTAGTACTTTAAACTGTCCTTGGAAATTGACTTTTTGGCTATTACAAGGAAAAGCAGGTCTCCATTCTGATCCTGCTTTTGAAACAGGATTAGTCTATTGAAATCAATGCAAGCACTCATTTAACTTTATACATGCTCTTAAGAGCTTTTCTGAGTCAGAGCCTCTAATGATTTTTCAGCGGAAAACTACTTCCCCATAAAGAGCTCCAATATATGTATTAATCATTAAGATTTTAGCACTGTCAGATAATAAGACTATTAAATTTTACTGATGTATTGGCACTGGCAGCTGTGTCATGGTAAGTGAACTGACATAGGTAAATTAACCCTAGAAGCACAGTTTTGTCTGACCTATAGCTTCTACATGGCCCAGCATATGGTAGTCTCTCAAAAGTCTCAGGACTTTTTTTTTTTTTTTTTTAAATCAGGACCATTTCTGTGCTTTTGTAAGTCAATTAACATAAGGCAAGATTCTGAGAGTTAAAATATATGTTTTTCTGGATTTTTTTTAAGTGTTGCATTCTCAAAACTGAGTTTTGATATGATTTCTCAAAAAAACCCACAGACTTTTTGTTTTGGTATTTTGAAATCACTTTTAAAAAATTGTTTAATGAAAGTAGAATATTTTTTGCAACAAAAAAATAAAAGGTCTACAACTGAACATCTCATGTTACATGAAGATTCACTTTGACTTAGACCTAAAACTTCAGTATTGCAAGCAAACTGAAAAATCTCTTCCTTACTAGGTAGCAGTGGTAATTAAAATGTGACCCATCATAGTTCCCTAAATCAAAACAAGTATTATTATGTGTACCAGAGCATCAGCTCCATTTAAAACATTGCCACTGTAATCTTATGCAAAGACTTTTTTTTAAATGCCTTAAGAAAGGTTTCACAGTTTATAATTTTAAATCCATGAGATACCAAACAACAATTCTGTCCCACCCCTTCTTCCTAGCTTCCCTTGCCCGTGAGCCTCTCAATCTTATTTACTAGTGAACGACCTGAAAACTTTGGCTGGGGGAATTTGCCATTCCTGGGTTCCCTGTGCAAATCAAAAATCAGTGAGATCTAGAACAACTCACAGCATCTCTCTAACAGGAGCACAGCTAACAATCACCCAGTATTACATGTGAGAAACAGGGTTAGGAATAGATATTTCCATGGTAGGCTCTCAGTGTTCAAGTTGAAGTCTTAAGAGCAAATAGTGAAATGTGCCTTCAGCAAGACTTAAGCTTCTTTGCATGCTCCATTGCACTGCTGATGTTTCTGTAGAAGTTTTTTTGTTGGTTGGTTGGTTGGCTCTTTGTGTTTTATTTTTAACAAGTACTCCTGGCATTAGTGGAGATCAAAACTGAGTGGTAAACTAGTTTTGGCCTCAATTTGTCATGGCAAAGTTAAGGTTGGCTGAAATGCCAGTGGAAGAATTTTAAGGATATTTCAACTTAGGCAAAGTTCAGCAACAAAAATAGAAAGTAGTCAGGGATCGGTGGCAGAAGTGCTGCATAACTTGTGTGTTAACAAATTCCTCAGTTATAGCAGGCTGAAATATTGAGAGTACTTGCAGCTGCCGTGAAATTGAAACACAGAATATTTAATCCCTCAGTGTTAGACATCTCTGGAGAAAAGGACAAAAATTATAATAGAGCTTTGTTTTAATACCACCTCTGCACAAGTGCAGTTAGTGTGCTTGCTGTGGACGGTTATTTTTCTTAACCAATGTAAGTGTCTTCCCTTCTAGGAAAGTATTTGAAAGAGTAGGTGAAAGACCATTCTAGACAACTTTATCTTCTTCCACTTTTTTGTAACGAGGCTCTGAAAAATTGGCCTTTCATTTGCATCTTTCATGTTAGATTCTAAAATATGAAGTATTCCTGTACTTCTAGTAAAAGCACAATGCACCATTTTAATTTTATTTTATTTTTTTCCTTCCCATGCTTGGTTTACCAAGTATTCCTTTCAGGACGATAGTGGTGAGCTTGCTGTCCCACCAAGTACTGCTCCAGAATTTATATGACATCTTACTGGAAGAATTTGTGAAAGGCCCTTCTAACTTGGAGGAGAAAATGACAATACAAGTACCAGAAAACAAGTTGGCTGGTTTCCTCAGGTACATCTCCATGCAAAACCTGGCTGTCATCTTTGACTTACTGCTGGACTCCTACAGAACAGCCAGAGAGTTTGACACCAGACCTGGGTTGAAGTGTTTGCTGAAAAAAGTGTCTGGCATTAGTGGAGCTGCCAACTTGTATCGCCAGTCAGCAATGAGCTTCAACATCTACTTCCATGCTTTGGTTTGTGCAATCCTGACAAACCAGGAGAACATTACTGCAGAGCAAGTGAAGAAGATCCTCTTTGAAGATGATGAGAGAAGCACAGACTCGTCACAGCAGTGTTCTTCAGAAGATGAAGACATTTTTGAAGAAACCGCCCAGGTCAGTCCCCCACGAGGGAAGGAGAAGAGACAGTGGAGGGCTCGAATACCATCTCTGAGTGTACAGCCTGTCAGCAATGCAGACTGGGGATGGCTAATCAAGCGGCTTCATAAGCTCTGTATGGAACTGTGCAACAACTATATTCAGATGCATCTGGACCTGGAGAATAATGTAGAGGAGCCTCCAGTGTTCAAAGGCGACCCTTTCTTCATTTTACCATCCTTTCACTCAGAAACCTCCACCCCATCAACCGGAGGGCAATCTGGGAAGGACACACCATCGGAAGATGACCGGAGTCAAATCAGGGACCAACTGGGAGACAGCCTGACACCGCGAGGAGGGAGTGGAGAAATGTTGCTGCTACCTCCACCTCTAAGTCCTAAACCAGAGAAAAAAGAGCAAACCAGGAAAAAAGAATGGTGGGAGAGTGCTGGCAACAAGATCTACACCATAGCCACTGACAAAACTATCTCCAAGCTCATGACAGAATACAAGAAGAGAAAGCAGCAACAGGCCATGACATCCTTCACCAAAGAGGTCAAAGTGGAAAAGAAAGGGGAGCTCCTGGGCTCAAGGGGGCCAGACTCGCCCATACTCCAGCGGCCACAACATCTTATAGATCAAGGTCAAATGAGGCATTCATTCAGTGCTGGTCCAGAGATCCTGAGACAAGAGAAGAGACCACGCTCAGGCTCCACAGTCAGTTCCCTGAATATATCTGTTAGGGATGCTGAGGCCCAGATACAGGTAGGACATACTTGTAGAATGCTAATAATAATAGCAATAATTAAAAAGATACCTATAAATATTTTTTTCTATGGCTTTTATTATAATGATTATACTCTCTTCATTAAATGTGTTTGTTACATAAAGAAGTCATCATGATGAAGACTGAATATTTCAGCAGCTGGCGCTGACAAAAACCTGATTCTGTCCTATCAAAAGAAAATCGGTGGAAGTGTTATCAGGCCATATACTAGTACAGCTTTCAAGAGAGCTTCTGTGACTGGGGCCAAAGCTGCACTTAGTCCTAAGAACTAACAGCCTACGATGAACTCATTGGTTACTGCTAAGGCCTCTAGCCCACTGAAGGGCTTTTGAAAATGTGATGCTTCTTGTCAGTATGCTTTTGTACTTAAGAAGATTCTTTTTGTTAGTTCCACAGCAGAAATAGTGGGCTCTGTTGCTAAACATGCCGCTTGCATGTCCAAGTGAACAAATCAGTGAAAGCATCAAACTTGAAAGTCTTTGTTCACTGTGGGATGAAATAAAAAGTGATGAAGGGTGAGCATGATACCTGCAATACAAAGTCAAACAATGACTTACAGTACTGAATGTGAATTAGGAAGACACAGTGAACATTAAATGAATATGCTGGCATTACTCAGTCCTCTTCATGAGGCTGCAACCACCAGATATCTTGTTTTCTGCCTCAGTCGATGGGCTCATCTATTTAGAAAGGTCTTCTAAAGAGTATCCAATTTTGTATCCAATTTGTTTGTAGGCATGGACCAACATGGTGCTGACAGTTCTCAACCAGATTCAGGCCCTGCCAGACCAAACTTTCACAGCCCTGCAGCCAGCGGTGTTCCCCTGTATCAGCCAGCTGACTTGCCACGTGACAGACATCCGTGTCCGCCAGGCAGTACGGGAGTGGCTGGGAAGAGTGGGCCGAGTTTACGATATCATCATTTAAACCTAGCTGTGCTCTGTTGCAAAGGGGAGAAGACATCCAAGGTATACAGCAGAGAAGTATTTGGGGTTCATTAAATGCCTGTTTGTTGGTGATAAATTAAGAAACACTGAGCTTGTCGATGTATATCCTCTATCCGCTTGAGACTGTGTCCCCCTCACTCACACTAGCAAAGGAGGCAAAGCGTGAGTGTGTCCAGGGGGGGTCTGGCATGGCCCCAGGATCCAGAAACTGCCAGTAAATCAGGCTAGTACCTAAAGGGGTGATACATTTCAGTAGCCTTGATCTTAATTCAAATTTGCAACAGTGGGAGCCACATGAAACTGCAGCTTAACTTCCACACTTGCAATTAGCTGTGAACGCAACTGTCATCTGGATGTCAAACCAGGCCCGTAAGCCTATGTAACTTTAAAAAAAAAAAAAAAAAAAAAACAAAAAAAAAGGGGGAATGTCAAACCAGGCCCAAAAGCCTATGTAAATTTAAAAAAAAAAAAAAAAAAAAAAGTCAGCAAAAAGGTGGGGCTATAGGACAAGTAAAAAAGGTGACACTTGTTTAGGGTAACTTTTTTCCCTTCTGAAATCAGCATGAGAGAGGAAAGGCAAATAAAGATTATTGTAGTAACTATATGCCTCACTCACTAGAGAAAGTGGAAATTTATTTTGCTCTCAGAAGAGCCTTTGAAGTCTGGTCACATTTGGGGTAGCTAATAAGTGACTATTAAGGTATCCCAGGTCTAAAACTGGTGAACCAAGCACAGACTATTCATCCTTTCATTGCTTTTGTGGAGTATTGCTTGAAGAGAAATGGCACTGTCAAGCTGCCCTCTCTACAACGCTACCCTGGCTGCCTCTTCAGCTGTGCCTACAGCTGATCATTTTTCCACGTGTCTAATTCCCCCTAAGGGCAACAGGGAAGTTTGTTTTGCTGTTTCCAGTGAAGCTGGGGGGAAGACAGACCACAGAGCAAATACCAGCATGTGCCAATATCCAGCATTCAACTAAACAGAGTAGAGATAAAGTGTTCCAGTTTAAGCAACACTGCAGCTAAGTTAGCTTATGCTTCTACTGGAAACTCACATGTTCGCTTATATAGAGCTGCCGTAGCCAGGAACACCCTTATCGCCTATGTTAAACTTAGCCTATCACTCCACATTGAGCTGAATCAAGAGGGAGAACAGTCTGAAAGGAAAGTATCTTTCCTGTTTCTCTCCCATTTCTTGTCTGCTGCTGTAAATAGAAGGGGGCAGATCCTCACGGAGGTGCGTCCCCCTCTGTGCAGCACTCCTATAGCGACTACTACAATTTGCTGATATTATTAAGGGGTGGGAGAAGGGGAAGGGTTGACTATTGTATTGTCAACTACATATGTGATGCTATTCACACTAGACACAGCAAAGGGTTACCTTGCTGCACAAATTATGTCACAGCCCCTGGGACATTCCATCGCGTACTCCCATACTACATAATTTGTTGATTAGAAGTTGAAATAATTTTTTGAAAATAAGTTGATTTTAATCTTGGGTGACCCCTTAATGGTATTCTCCCAAGGCTTTTAAAATGTGCACACCAACTAAATATACAGCTTCAGTCCCTGCTCCAAAGCATCCTCAAAATGGCATCTCTTTATATCAGGCCTGGGTTTTGCACAGCTTTTAGCATCTTAAACCTAGGAAAACGGAGGGAGCCAGGAGGCTCCACTGAACAGCCATCACACAAGCTATTTGTTTACAAAGAGTCTGCCACTGTCCTCCTGCCTTTTCCCTCCATTGCCCACTTCCCATTTGTCACCTGCTAGACTTGTGCAGGGAGTATTTGTCCCATAACTTTCTGTAGTGTCAGTCACACCGTTTCCCTTTCCCTTTCTTTCAAAATTTCCCTTTGCTAAATTGTTTCAAGGACATAAAAATTCCTTAAAAACAACTCTTTTTTGCCACCTACATTGACTTTATAAATGAGGAATTTAACAATTTTATCAATTGTCAATTTTCCCCCAACAGTTCTAATACTTTGGGGACAGCTGAGATTAGTCCGTGGTATATGGGAGAGTAGTGGCATGGTTTGATTTCTGTTGCTATGTCTTTCTTACACATCATTAGGTAGAGTAAAAGGATGGTTATATTTTTTGTTGAAGTTTTTATTGGGCATTTATACAGAACTGCTTTTAAAGCAGTACATTAATTAGGCAACAACGGAAATCAGAATAATAAACTGTATACAAAACACCCAACTCTACTGTTTTTCATTATATATGCATTGAATGGATGCAGATCCAATCTAAAACTAAAGCAAATCCCTAAATTATGCTGGAGAAGTAAGATTGATAGCAGTACCAACGGAATCACTCAGGACTCCAGAAGAGGGCCTAGTATCTCGGAAACACTGTGGTTATGTGTTGTGGTTGCAATAGAAAAATCCTTCTGTAAAACAGAAGGAAAAGCTCTGGCATGGACAATACCACCACCCACACCACTCCCCTCAAGCCCATGAACACAGCATAGCTTAGTGTTATTTGATTAGCCACCATCTTGACCCAAAATGCCATTTCATTTCAACTTTTTACGCTACAAATACCATACTGGAAATGACTAGGAGTAAATTTGCTGTATGGCTGTTGCCCTATTTTAAACTTTGCCCTCCAAATTATGCACTAAGTGCCCATTGTCACCCTCAGTGCCTCTGCGCATTAACACCCCTCCGTAAGAGGTCATGAGTAACTTTAAGTAATTCCAAAAATGTAATTTAAAAGGATTGGGGTGGGGGTAAAGGAATCCTTGAAGCAGCAGGCTTTACATAAGCAAAGTTTAGCATATGCTGCTCTTCCTTTTCCTTGTATGTAAAATGGTAAGCAGGTGAGGAGAGCAGGCCATGGCCACTTCAGGAACCATTAATCTGAGATGCAGAAGCTTTCTGATGCACCTCCAAAATATATATAAATAAAAGTTGAGTTGGTTCATCAGATTCTCAGCTATTTTTTTGCTAGTTTAGCCATAGACATCAGCAAGCCCCAAAGAAGTAATGACACTAAACATGCGAAGTCACCACTTCATAGACCTGTGCAGTCTGTTTCATGCATACTTTGGGCTTAAGGCTGCCAGCGTCCTACCTTCAGGCCTCACAAAGCAAGCTCTTAGCCCAAAGGAGGAGTCTGCCAGAACAGTCCCAGGAGACGGGCACCGCCACCAGCCTGTCCTAAGTTTCAGAAGGGGACTCCCCAACTCTGAACAGCCCAGTCATGTCCAGCTGTACCATGCTACAGCGGCTTTTCTGCTTTCCACTTGTGAGTGGGGAAGCACCTCAGCCAGTAGCACAAAGTAGCCCTTGTATCCACACATGTAGGTCTTTCTCACACAACCCATTCAAATGCTTACTTATAGCCCCATAACGTAATGCATGAGCTAACAGCAGCACATTACCAGCTTTACTATTGAATCAGAACATCTGAGCCTTGAAAAACCAGTCTGTGTATTGTAGCTGGAGCTTGCTCTTTCTCTTTGCTCTGGTTAATGACCACACTCTTCTCTTTTCTTGCACTTACTTACTTTTTTTGTCACATAAATTCTATAGGAGTTGGGTTTGATTTTTATTGAACTGCTGGCCAGTTATTTTTATTTAACTGAACTGCTTAAAAAAAAAAAAAAAAGGTGTGACGGTTTGGCATCCTTCTCAGGTACCAGAGCTGCACCTCTGCTGCCTTTGCCTAGTTCACACCACCCTCCTCAGGGCCACCACAGCAATCAGAGGCAACAACATCTCATTTTAAAATCTTGCAGGCAGCCACTAACAGAGAAAGTTGCTGTTGGCCAGCATCAACTACCTTTACTCACATGGAATAGCTCGTCACCATGCAAATATTTAAAGCTGAAAAAAAGCAGCATACTCGTCAGGGAAGTGCTACTTTTCTTGTATAACAGGAGCAGGGTCTTACCCCAATTGGTATGGTTTCAGGCCATTGCATATGTTTGCACTTTATTCTGTAGGGTGAATATATGCAGATATATGAGATGATTGATGTGTTTATGTATAGATTCCTGTAGCTCCAGTCACTGTCATACTCGGAGCATTCTGCATATTTACAGACCAATATCCACATTAGTAGTATGTTTATCATGCTCTCTGAATATTTGTGTCACATCAGCAATGGTGGACACATTTGTTCCGGTAACTTCCCCACAGTAGCCTCTTCTGAGCGCTCAGCAGCCATAGAATTACCACTGCTATCTCTTGGTTAACATGCTTTCATGTCTTTAAGACGTTAAAATACAGATTTAATACTCTCCTAGGGATAAACACTCACTTGAGAATAACTGACTTAATTTAGCA